ACTTATTTAAATTAAGTAACATTTATTTAAGCCAATCAGGGGTGTACGATAGGCTTACCTCCACGTGGTGCACCCTTAACGTATATTCTAACTGCAAGAAACTCTATTACTCGGCTTTTGACTTCAATTTATTATGAGTTGCTTGAAAAGACGCTATAAGAGAAATCGTCCTCTTCAGGGTGAATCACAACTTCTACAGGTCTTCTGTGGAACGCTGTAAGCATATCACAGGACAAAAGATCCAAATTCTGACTTTGATTGTTAATATTTGAAGTCAAAAGCCGAGTAATAGATTGTTTTGCCGGATGACAGGGATTGAAACTATGACCACTTTGTCTCTGAATGGGTATGGAAGATCAGTTAAATGCCCAATGAATAGCCACCATCACTAGCTCACCTCCAATTATTCAAATAGGCAAAATAAATAATCAGCAACAAGAGATAAAATCAGGGCGAAGGTAATTTCGTGAACGATCTTTCAAGTTAATGGCTATTTTACTCTTTAGCAATTTTTTTCCATAACACTTAGAGATCACAATCGACTTCGAATCTCTTCCACCAAATGGAGGAAATCCGTAGGAAGAGCGTAAACTTGATCGGGACGGGGTTTTGCAACTTGCCATAAATAGCGAAAATGTTCACAAATTTAAATAAAGTGTGAAGAAAACGACGTGTGTTTGTTACGAAACGTGGAGGTGTTACAGAGCAGGAAAGGTGGAAAACGTTGTTGCATCGGTGGAGAGGAAAAGGAGGGAGAATGAGAAGTGCTTGGGAAATAGAAATGGAGAAGTAAGCGATAATAGGTGGAAGTCACCACGCGCCCTCCGGGCCACCCTACGCACGCCATTCACGGGCGCGATCCTGCTACTGCACCACGTGGGGGCTTTTGGCTGCTGAGTTTCCCCCCTGACCCATTACACCCCTCCTTAGGCAACCTGGAGACCACTACCTTCCGACAGGATCCCCATATCGACGCCGCGCTTAGCACGGACGCCCGATCCACATGCGCGCACGCAGGTTGGAGCTCCCAGCGACGGCAGTTTCAACCACCCGGCCTCCAAGTTGCTGGATTACAGGCGCACGCCGCTACGCCCAGCCGTTCAGCGATGTCAGCTCTTTTGCACTTACACGCTCCTCTCGCAACTCTTCTCACTCTCAGCCTCATCTACTCACTTGCATTCAGTAACATCTTCTTACTACCTTCCATCTTCACTCGCCAACTGCATTCCTCCTTCATGCCATCGGCCATTTTCGCTCTCACTCTTCCCTTCTACCACCGTTGTCTTGGAGCGAATCCAAAATGTAATGCTAGTTCCATGTTAGTTCCTTGAATGCAATAAACTCAATGAAGAACTTAGCCTCTTTCAACTGCCAATATGCCAGTTGTGGAGACCACTGTCGTGTTGTAGAAATTATTGGCCTAATTGAGGTTTGCATATATGAGATGTGAAGCTATTATCGTAAATATATTGTAAATATACTAGTCTTAAGGAAAATAAATTGATTTCCTGTATTTACTTTTCTGAGAATTAAACCAATGTCTACCTGCCTAGATAAGATGAAAATCTCGTTTTTTCATCTAAAAGTCTTTTTGCTCTCATGACTCATGTACCTCAAGGCATTTGTGACTTGATATTTAATGACTCGAAGGATTCCTATCATACTGGTGTAATTGTACAGGTGTTAAATAGGTGTACAATCGCAAAACAAATTTTTTGATAAGTTTCAATAGTATTAAAATGCTAGAACTGCTTGACTCTTTAAAGTAATTATAATTGAACTTTTGTGTCATAAATTCCAGTTGTTTAAATCGATGTAAAAAACCTTAAAATTTCTATGATTTTGAAATCATTGCATTCCAGTATGAAGATAAGCTGTTAATTTAAAATTGAAATAACCTTAACAAACTATTGGGTGGGCAACTAAGTCATTGCCGTTTTTGTTGACAGATTCACTCTATACATCCTTTTGTTTTGTTAACGTGGCCAGAGCATCTAACCTATATTTTTTCTTACTGTATGGGCTTCTAGGCTAATTAGTAAAAAATTTTTTTGTTTAGTTCTTTAGTTTTGTTTTTATCCCAATTTAAAAATGAAAGAACAGGACGTGCACTTCCGACACATTTTATTGTATTACTTCCGAAAAGGCAAGAACGCATCGCAAGCACAAAAGAAGTTATGTGCCGTATATGGAGATGAAGCCTTAAAAGAAAGGCAGTGTCGAACTTGGTTTGAAAGATTTCGTTCCGGTGATTTTTCACTGAAAAATTCACAACGATCTGGCCGCCCAGTCGAAGTGGATGAAATCAATATCAAGGCCATTATCGATTCAAATCGTCACAGCACAACACGAGATATTGCAGAGAAGCTCAATGTGTCGCATACATGCATTGAAAACAAATTAAAAACCCTTGGTTATGTCAAGAAACTTGATTTATGGATCCCTCACCAGTTAAAGGAAATTCATTTGACGCAACGGATTAGCATCTGTGATTCGCCACTACTAAAACGCAATGAGAATGATCCATTTCTGAAGAACCTAGTTACTGGCGACGAAAAGTGGATAGTTTATAACAATGTTACTCGCAAGAGACCATGGGTGAAGCAAGATCAACCAGCCCAAACAGTATCAAAAGCGGAGATTCACCAAAAAAGATTATGCTGTCAGTCTGGTGGGATCACAAAGGAATTTTGTATTTTGAACTCATGCCGCAGAACCAAACGATAAATTCAAATGTGTATGTTGAACAACTGGAAAAACTGAAGGATGGATGCAATTGAAGATAAGCGGCCGGCATTATCAAATCGGCGGAAGGGTGTTGTTTTCCATCATGATAACGCAAGGCCCCCGCACACATCTTTGGTTACTCGGCGAAAATTATTGGAACTGGGTTGGGATGTTTTGTCACACCCACCATATAGCCCTCACCTTGCGCCTTCGGATTACCATTTGTTTCGTTCCATGCAAAACTCTTTAAATGGTAAAATTTTTAACAACGCGGATGATGTCGGATCACACCTAATTCAGTTTTTTAATAGCAAAGACCAGACATTTTACGAAGGGGGAATTTTTACTCTGCCAGAACGATGGAAAAAGGTCATCGACAAGAACGGCCAATATCTAATTGAATAAAGTTATATTTTTAAACAAAAATTCCGAATTTGCCTTCTTATTTGAAATCGACAATGACTTAGTTGCCAACCTAATAGATTGTCTTTAAATGTGCGAAGTTTGGCTGGAAAGGAAAAGTGGTCTAAACCTTAGAAACGAAAAAAGAATGATAATGGATAGTTTTTTTACATATTACACGCAAAAGTCAATTGTGCTGAATAACTGTCATTGGCTTTGCGTGTTTTCCTGACCCGAGTTCTATTTATTCGTCAAAAATAATATCTTGTATGAGCACACTTTGTGTGCACATATTGGAATAGGTAAAATCGTATTGCCACTAGCATGATTTCCAAATATAGCAATCATCAATTCCCATACTATTAAATTGCATTTAAACAATAATTTGTACATTAAGCATAAAATACACATTTTATGGAATATCTGCCTTTAATTAATTTCCATTGAAGCCCGCCTTTTGTTTGTATTATTTTTATGACGTTAACGACCTTGAAAATAATTGGTTCGTGATATTCAAGGTTGCTTCCAGCCCGTTTTGTGGGCTTCACCGGCATTATTCAGTCCTTTAATGGGCAGTGTGGACGACGGAAACGTCGCTTTAAGATGGCTCTCAGTATTTTGGTCATTTTATTTTTGTTTCTTTTCAATCTCAACAATTGCTTTCCATACGCAGCCGTTAATGGTTCAAATGTAGTGTCATCGCAGGAAAGTCGCTACACAATCATTGTTGATGCGGGCAGCAGCGGTAGTCGACTTTTTGTATACTGTATTCCAGCTCGAAAAGTCGGCGATGATCCTTTACCAACCATTACTTTATGTCTTGATGCTGAAGGCAATCCCCTTACCAAAAAGGTCAAACCCGGTCTTTCTTCTTTCTCTTCCGATCCATCATCTGTCCAAAGTTACATCCATGGTTTATTATCATTTGCTGCAAAAAATATCCCTAAACAATACCACTCTATCACACCAGTTTACATTCTTGCTACAGCCGGTATGCGGTTTTTATCACAAAGGTCGGTGATCTCATTCTTTTCCTTACACTTTTTCTCTGTAGCGATCAGGATGCCATTTGGAGCTACGTTCAGTCAACAGTAAAGAGAGAATTTCACTTTAACTTTGAAAATTCTTGGGCGCAAACAGTTACTGGATTTTATGAGGCCTTATATGGATGGATTACTGTTAACTACTTACTGGGAAACTTTGCCGGTAAGTTAATAGCTTATTTAATTGCTGATCGCAATGTCAAATATTTGCTTCTATTTCTGATGATCTGTTGAAAGTGTCCAATTTTTTATAATTGTGCCATAAATGTATAGTGTTTGTATTACAGTTGGACGAATCCTACCCATTGGTAAGTACCTAGTTCTGACTCAGTATTTATCATGACTTTGCTCACCATAAATGGCATAATTTTGACAATTTATTTGAGCATCTCCCTCTCTGGAAGACTTGTGGTGGTTTTCAGTATTATTGCATTGGTTTCTACGATCTAGAAATACTAGTCTTCCCCCTGGTATTTTCCATATTAATTTTTATTCACTCTTTTTTCGTTGCTTTTTATAAGTTTCGGTTGTGTTCTGACTGCCAAGTCGAATCTAACAAATCTTTGAACAAATAACTAGTTGATACATTGTGAGTCTTAGGATTTTATCGCAATGCTTGACTTGAAACATTACTTAACATCAGAATGTAGGATTTAAGGTGCCCATGGAATCATATAAAGTAATTTCAGTGTCTATAATGAAGTGTAAAATACCGTTATATACTCCATGGTTGACAAATTGACGGTTCTCTTCTGAGTGACTTGCTCAACTTGGATTTCATCAATGATCATGAGGACTATTTTTAAGGACCAATGTAAAATTGTGTGGTTTTCAGTTGCCTTTGTGTCACCTAGGATACTCGAGTTTTGATGAGTTAGCCATTGATTCTTTTGAAATTTTTAATAGCTGGTTAAACTGGCAAAAATGCTTTTTTGTTTTACCGATTTATGAGCAAATTCGTAATAACACTGAACAACATGTAATCATTAGTTTTTTTAATTCATTTAATTACTTGTAACTTCAAATGTTTATGTATTTTTGTGTTGGGAAATAAATTCCCGTGATGAAACGGAAATTAAGTCCTTTTTGCACTCAATTTCGATTACTGCCTTTATTTAGCTAACATTTTTTACACTCGACTTACCAAATTAGAACGTAGACTCACAAATTCTAGCGATTTAACCATTTTGGTAATCATGCAAAGGAAGACCCAATTCGTTTTTGTTTCGAAACTACTTCTTATTAATTAATCAATATAACATTTCTTTTCCTGTGCTCAAGATTTACGGTCACGTATACTTCCGCTTTCGGCATTTTCGCAAATCATTTCTATCAGAAGGCACTTATTCTAGTCTAGAAAAGTTCAGCAGGTTGGGGTGGGGGGGGGGGGGGGGGGGGTGGGNGGGGGGTTCTTGGCCAATCCTCGTTAAATTCCAATTAACTTCTTTGTTTACTTGTTATATTTGTAGCATTCATTATTTTGTCGATTTAAGCAAAAGATTGCATCTCAATTAGGATTTAGACATGGACACAATATGAGACCTAGAGTCGAGCAAATTTTTCAAAAAAAATTAATTTAAGTAGAGCGCTACGTTTACTGTGTCTAATTTCCACTGTGCTTGATTGTATGTCGCACCAGATTCCCTCTGAAATTGAAGTTAATAAAAAGACCGAATACTTCCTTTTTTGTTATTCATTTCTCAGCACATTTATCTTTTAGAACCTCTAAAACCAACAGTTGGAATGCTAGATATGGGTGGAGCAAGTATGCAAATCGCCTACGAAGTTCCTCCTGAACTCAATCCCCCAGAGGATCTCATCCTTCCATTCACTATTGGGGGAACTCGAACTCATAACGTCTACGTCATGACATTCCTTGGTTATGGCACTCAAGCCGCTAAGAGCCGGTGAGTGGAACACTGACTTTCGGATCTTTAGCACCTTGAACTCTGCCTTTATCTACTCATTACATTCGTTAGATATAAACTGGCTCTCCTGCATAACGCTATGGAGTACTCACAATATTCGGGACTTTTGAAGCATCGCTTTCGACCTTCAACAGGGTATGTAAAAATTCCCAAGTTGGACAATCATACTGTGGAACTACACTATACCACAACTGGAGAAGAGAAATTTATCCTCTCTGTGAGTTTCATAATATTGTTTAAACTGATAAAGTTAAGTTTGTATTGGCACAGTCTTATTACTTCATACTTCTAACGGTATTAAGCTGCTATTTCTAAAGTCTGGGTTGGTTGATCCCTATACCCGGAGGCGCTACATTGCCAACCTCATATATCTCAGGCTTGAGGAGGGAGGGGGGGGGGGAAGTGATTGAATTCACCCTTTTGGATTAATTAGAACGCGTCCATGTATACAAACGTAGGATAAGGGGTGGAGCCTGATCTGCACATAATACAAAATGGCTACTATGGCATACCAATTAATTGTTATGTGTGACAGTGGCCATTTTAGCCATTTATTTAATTTATAATTGGAGCTTTTTGTGCCCGAAGTGGGAACCTCAGTCAATATGAACATTTCCACTTTTGCCGAGCATTTGCCTTTGGGCTTTTATTTTCTGTGGTTGATTTCATTCGGTGATTTTTATTTCCTTCGAGTTGGTCTGTAATTAGCCGCTTTGTGTGCCTCTGAATATGCATTTCCCACGGAGTCAACTATCGAAATCATTTATTTGTTTCGTTTGCTCTAGCTGACATGTTAGATCAACTATCAACCTTCTAAGAAGTCACCATCACCAATGATATTCAACATTTTATTAATATTATATTTCAGGATCCGTGCCTTCAACCTGGTCTGGAAGATAGACTGGACAGGAATGATTTGACCCTTTCTCGAACTATTCTTGCAACAGGCAATTCTTCCTCTCCCACAATCGCTTTTGTGGGTACTGGCAACTTGACACTCTGCATTGAATACCAAAAGAGCCTTTTGGAGAAACAGAAGCCATGTAAATTACATCCATGTTCCATGAACGGAATTCACCAACCAGCAGTGGAATTTGAAGGCACTAGCTTCTATGCAATGTCAGAATACTGGTACACATCGTCGGATTTGGGCACTTCTGGGTTATCAAATATCTACGCGTTCGAAAAGTTCTCTTCTAATGCTCTGGTGAGTCCTGGGCGGAATTCCCCGTTTATATCTGAGTTGCTAAATTCGAGTTTCTCATCAAGGAGGCGCGATGAAATTAGTTCTCCGTGTTAAGTGAATAACAAAAGCAAACGCCCTTTTAAGTGAACTTCCTTTTATTGCTGTCATTGAGTAGAGCAAAGGCCTTTACATGTGTATTTATTTAGATCAAATGCCAGGCGTCTTGATGGTTATCATTAACCCTTTAGTTGACTTCAGGCTTCACAGAGGGAGAGGAACATCAAATTGAAAAAAATCGAGAGGGGGGGGGGAACAGAAGAGTGTTTCAAAGATGTAAGAGACAAAAACAAAGGTAGAAAAAAGGTGAGGTGAGTACTGTGGAAATAGTCGAATATGGCATAGAGTAGGGTGATGGTAGTTTGAAGTGAGAAGTCAAATGCCGATTAATAGACCTTTTTGTCGCATGATTATACGTTGCCCATGGTGCAGCACGTGGAGGTAAGTCTATCGCACACCCTACGAATGAATTATTATTTCCACAAAAATGAAATTTTTAATCATTTTAGCTTCAAAAACAACATATGTAAAATTATGAAAGCCATTTGAAGTGGATAACAGCAAACGGGTCCTTTTAATTATAAAACGGGCGAGGGTTTTAAGCGACGCAGTTAATGTTGTTGTTGGGGCCTTCAGGATTCTTTGCTTTAATAATGAAAATGTCACGTTTAATATATGCCTACAAGAAGTATGGTTCGCATAGTTCAGATTCAGTTATTTGACCTCCAAGTTCACATGTTTGAGTATATCGATGGTAATCAGAATTTTTTGACAGGTTGATTTAGCTCAGCGGTTGGTCAAACCATTATCGATTTGTTTCTACCTTGCCACAGCCTAGAATTGACACACGGGTCTAGTGCCAACTATTTAGCATAGCATTGTGTTCACTTGAGTTCACTCAAAGTGAAAATTGCTCCATTTATTCTTTTGCTGGGAGATTTTATTAGTTGTAGTAACTGTAATGTTCTATTATTAGTGGAAATGATAATTGAACGTCACTTTTTTCACACCCCTGACAGGCAGCAACGTGTGCACAGTACCGCGGAATACACACTTGTGTGTGTGTGTGTGTCAATATCGATCCAATTCATAAACATCTTGACTTTCTTTTACGATTTCTTATTGGTGTATTTATTAATTTGTTCTCTCGTGGCGACGCTATTAATTTAAGTAGTATTTGGCGACGCATTTCAATATTGCAAACTGTGAAAATTTAAGCACAATTTATTATCCTAAATGTGGATCACGTGGGTATATTTTTAGCATTACAACTGTTTTAACAAGTCAAAAGCACACTTATTCTTGGAAATCGTTCGTATTCGCTCTTATATACTTAAAATGTATTAGGAAACATGTTACATGACTTTTAGTGAAACAATTTTTTTTCTGTATGATCTCTTGTACTTGCTTGCTGAAGATGAAGTGTTTAGTGAAGTCACACGTTGAGAAAAAGGCTACTTTGATGAATTGTGAACATTTGCGCCTATGGAAGAAAACTCTCTTGAACCGATGGGATCGGGGGGTGGGGAGGAGGAGGGGGGGGGGGGGATGTGGATGTTCCACTTACTCAGCCAACAAGGTGGGCCTAATTTCCGAAATTAGTTCACTTCTTCTATCGCTGATTATGTCCTCTTAAGAAACTAAATTATGGTAATTTTCCATAACTTGGGAAACTTAGAGAGGTGGATCGAGCGGAAGGTAAAGTTGAAATCAGTACATCATCGGATGTCTTTTCAAAGCCGATCTTCGAATTCAATTTGTGAACTTCTTATCTCTCGAGCTTAGCTTATACTGCATTAACTTCTAATATATTCAGAAATTGCCTTCTGCTATCTTAATGAATCCCTCTTCATGTGGCTCAGTGTTTGTCAAGCTTTTGAAGAATCTATATAGTTAGGTACCTACTTCAGGAACTTTTTTCATTATTGTCACGATACTACTCAAGCATCCTACATTTAAGGTAAAAGCGTAAGACTTTCCTTCTTATTACTATGAATAATCGGAGCTTCTTTCTCCTCTCTGTGCCACCAATCTCCATGGTTGCCATTCATAATTAAAATAATTCGCCCTGAGAGGAAGACATCTATTTGAAATTCAGTTTGCTTTTAGGGTCGGCTGTGAGTACAAAAATTGTTCAGTGTTGTATATGGAGTCTTCTTTCCATTCAGCAGATCACTCTGATTCACTTTTGTCTATGCCATTGTTGTAATTGTCTCATTAAATACTTTATTGCTGCGTCTACAAGATTCTACATGAGCTTTTATGAGCAATTGTTTTGTTTGTGAAGTAAGATGTCTCTATCATCATGAATATTTTTCGATGCGCTGAGCTGTTTGTCGATAAAAAGGCGATTTTTGCTTTTTTATTAGGGAAATTTAGCCATGAGCAGTCTCTACTACTAAATCAATTAAAATTAGCTCTTGGAATGTAAAAGTGGAGGTAACTTGCGAAATACTCTTTTTGGGAAATAAATTCCAAACGAAGTCCTATTTACGCGCTTTTCAGTAATCGTCTAAGTTGTCACATCACTCAATAGTAGTGCAATATCCTCACTCAGGTCAATTAACTCATCTATTTTTGGAATTTTAAATTTCATCATCTTACTTTTTACAGTATTGTCTATATGCTAGACGGAATCAAGACTTGGAAGTGGAGAGTTCTAATATAGAGAAATTGAGTTAAGCATCTAGGAGAAGCTTCGAAGTCTACTTAAAAGTTAGTAACCTCGTGTGTGTGTGTGTGTGTGTGTGTATTTGAAATGCTAACGTTATTAAACCTCGAAATATTTTGCTATTGCAAAGTGTACTACACCCCTGGTAGGAAAATGGACTTCTCAAGTCTTTAGGAATGAAGAAAGCACATGGCACTCTTTGTGCCTTCAACTTTCTCCCTCTACCTGTTACCCTGACGTTGAGTTAGCTCTAATCGTAGCACTATTTCATTTGGCTTAACTTTCTTGTGAAAGAAAAGTGCACTATCTCTCGCTGATAATTCACTCAAATTCACGTCTTTAGGATCTTAACTCTCTCGTAATGTTGTTTCCTTTTTCAGCATATGTGCCGGACTCCCTGGCAATCGTCACTTACGGAGTATCTTAAGAAAAATGTCGACCCTTCAGCCATTGCCAATAAACAGTGAGTTCAGCTTCTTCTCCGATTGCTTCTTGCTTAGCTTCATGTCTTGAATTTTTCAAATTCTTTGTTTGTGTGTGTGTGTGTGTGTGTGTTTGTTATCGTATGATATCCAATTACTCATTTTACTGGCCTTTGTGTTCTCCCCGTTTTTTTTTGCAGATTACCGAATCTAATACAATTTCGTAAAGTAAATGTCTGAGGACACTCTGGTATTGATAACGTTAAGGGGAATGTAATATTGTCTATTCAAAAAGCTCAATTTTATCAATTACGTGATATGTTTAGCGCTAGTTGAAGAGGGTTGTGTCCTCAAGCCCTTCCGATAATGATCTCAATTAGCTGAATCCCTATCACCATTTTTATTGCTGTTATTCAATGCACACGACTCCATAAGTGAATTGTCGAGGATTGTTGCGAGGAAGTACTTATTTCAAATGGCAGGCGTTTTGATAGTTATCATTAGCCCTTTACCTGACTTCGGGCTTCACAGGGGGAAGGAACATCAAAGTAACAGAAATTCGAGGGGTGGGGAACAGAAGAGCGATTCACAGATGTAAAAGAGACAGACAGACGCAAAGGCAGAGAAAAGGTAGGATGAGTACTGCGGAAGTGGTAGAATATGACATACAGTTGGGCCATTGTAGTTTTAAGCCAGAAGTCAATCGCCAGTTAATAGACTTTTTTGCCGTATGAGTATACGTTGCCCAGGGTGCACCACGTGGAGGTAAGTCTATCCCACACCCCCGTTACTTAAATATGCGAGAGGGGTTAATTTTAAGCAATAAATCTATAGATCTCAAAAATGACTCTTTAAATTAATCTCGTAAATATTTCGAGTTGTTTTAACATCTGTTATACAAAAATTCGTTGCATTTTAATTGTGTTAACTTAGACGTAGTAGAATAGGAAATGCACTTGGAATTTCGCCTATTCCTTCATTCAATTTACGACATTATATGCACTACCCTTTATCTCCTCAAGGGTTAGTGGCCAGAATTCTGGATGAATGGTACTCCACTTTGGCCCCCTTCAAGCAATGTACAATTACCTTATGCACGTAGTTCTCATGTCTCCTTATTTAATTCCGAGAATAACAACTTCCAGCCTACAAGTTCACTTTGGTCAAACGTTGATGCATCATGTTTGCACTAGTTATGACCATTGTATCTGGTAAAGACTCGTCTTTACAAATGACCTTCCTTTACATACGTCTTATTGTTGAGACACTTAGTTATTGTCATTACTTATACCAATAGAAATTAGTTTTTATATCGTGAGATAGCATGTGAATAAGGGAAATGGCAAATGAATTCAGTGAAGCATGAAATAGTCGGGGTGGAAGTCGTGAAAAAGGCGGCAACGAAGCATGGACACAATGGGTTCTGACTTCTTGAGGCATTGCACTCTCCATATTTCCCTCAGTACTACTGTTCACTCTGCAATGTGCTCTGATGTCCATATTGGACGCTTTAACTCCACGTTCATGGACGAAGTTGCGCCAGCGATATTCGCAGTCCGTTGAACAGTTCATTTGTTCCCCCCCCCCGCCCCCAAATGATCTCATCTTTCATTTATATCTTCCTACATCCAAGTGGAAATCCCTCTTGTCAGTACTTTCGACATGGGGTCTACTGATTGAGATGATACACAGTTGCCTTATGCTTAAATGTCCAAAATGTATGGTTTCCTCCTACTTCTGCCAATCACTTTAGCAATTTTCTACTTTTTATAAGACAGATGCCTGCTGTGTAAAGAGAGGACTAAGTCAATTTTATTGCAACAGAACTCATTTGAGCTCTCTTCAACTATTTCCTAAGTTTAGTTTTTTTATTTTTTTGCCATTCTCTACGATACGGATAATGCAGCGGTGTTATTCTCACGATTTTGTTTCTCAAAGGGAGCTTCCAGCGTTTGTAATCTTCTACTTTCTAGTCCGATGTTTTCCACTAACTTTGCCTTTAACCCACTTTACTCCCATAAATTTCATTTTGGTCGCGTAAACTTCAGAGATGTGTATCTCAAAGTACTTAGCCTCCATTTAAAATGATTTATCTTCTTACCTTAAGGGGTAGGTATGCGATTTGTATGCTTACTTTTCATTAATAAATTAATGTCCACTTTGACCCTTTAATATGTCAAAATTCACATCAGTATGCGGTGGTTGCACAAAAAATACACGAATTGGTTCCACTAGATTGAAGTTTAAAAAACAAGAAGAAAATGCAGCCTACTTGATTGCATAAGTGGGAGTTTTCGGTATTTACTCCAATGGGGTGGGATGAGGGGGGGGGCTCTAGTCTTGCAAAAAGAACTCCATAAAATTCATAGGACCCCCTAACGAATGTTGTTTTTAGGCGTTTGCTTACCACGTTAATCAGATGACCATTTTCTTAACTCCTCTGTCACTCGCCTTTGTCTTATGTAAAAGTATTAATATAGTTTTTTTTCCCGACCACGAAATACTTCATAGGTAATGAATATTTTATCATAATCTCCTCTTGAAGGCAGGTGTATAGAACAGAAAACTTCCTCAATAATCCTAATAAAAAAACGGGGTGTGCGATAGACTTACCTCCACGTAGTGCACCCTGGGCAACGTATACTCATACGGCAGAAATGTCTATTAACCGACAGTTGACTTCTGGCTTCAAACTACCATCACCCCACTGTATGTCATATTCGACCCCTATCACAGTACTCATCTTACCTTTTGTCTGTCTCTGTCACATCTGTGAATCATTATTGTCCCCCCTCTCGACTTTTTGTCACTTTGATGTTCCTCCTCCTCCTCCTCTCTGTGAAGCCCGAAGTCAGCTAAAGGGATAATGATAACTTTCAAAACGCCTGCCATTTGATATAAATAAATAATCCTGGAGTCTACTTGTGCACTTTTATTTTATCAACGGAATGTAAAGCAGTGGTGGTATCACTAAGCGGACTATTTTACTAACCGAGTTCAAAACCAAATAAAATTTTACTTTTAATACATTGGCTTTATTTTCAACAGTTTTTCCACTTCCGCTATTCTTCATCCCTTGTTGAACTTTTCCCCCCAATTTAAT